CATAATTAAATATTTGATAAGAGAAGAGCTGTCATTTAATACATGTATAATGCTGATGGTATTGATATGTAAAAATATTAAAATTGTTCCAGTTTTGATAAATTTCAGTGGACTATGATGATGAGAAAAAGAGCATCTTGACAGTATTTTTGCCAATTTTTTCAAATGCATAGTGTATGCCTAAAAATATTTTCATAAAAAATGTACACTTGCATTTTGTTTTTTTAATGCATCAGCATAATATCTTTTTCTGTGATCGTTATTTGTGCATGCCCACTCTCCTCCTATTCCCCTTATCTCTCTCTTCTCCCTCCATCTCTCCTCCTCTCTCTACAGTCCTTACAATAGCAGTTGCTAATAAACATCCAGTTATTACACTACCAACTGATCATATTAAGATATTCTCCAGTACATGGCCTGATTCATCACCAGGTGTTACTTATCATTATCATTGGAGGAGATTGTTTGGTCCTAAGAAGGGAAACCTCAATGGAGTCAATGATAAAACCATCTCATTGAGTCACGTATGTTATAGGGAGGGAGGGAGGGAATAAGAGATTAGAAATACATGTACAATGTATGTATATTTACATATACCAATGACAACACTATGTACATGTATGCCTGTTGCCTATTTTTAGTACCTTATATGCTACATGTTGACCAGTCATGTGTTCATGTTGAAATAATTATTGTTAAATTTACAAAACAAGGATATTATGTATAAGCAGTGATTGTTTAATATGGATAAAATAGGAATGACTTGTGGGCTATGTACCCCAGGCTAACTATCATGAGTATCATATTTAACAAGTACATCAAAGAAATCTTTAAAGCTTGGCCTCTCATAATCCTTGTGTTTCCAGCAATTTATCATAAGTTGATCAAATGGTTTAGGACAACCTCTTGGTATGTATGTACAATTGCCTTTTGATACTAATTCACATACTTCTTTATCAGTCATGCTAGGATATGGTAGATACCCTTTGGTAACCAGTTCCCATAGTAATATACCAAATGACCAAACATCAGATTTAATACTTAGCTGGTTTAAAGTATGTCCTTCAGGTGCTGTCCATCTTATAGCTAGATGAGTACCTCTCTCAACAGTCCAGTATTTTTTGCCATTGAGGTGTTGGGCAAGACGAAAGTTTGCTATCTTGACAGTGTTATGGTCTCCTAATAGTATATTCTCTGCTCTTAGATCACAATGAATGTAATCTTGTTCTCCTAGATACATCATACCTTCAGTAACTTGAATAGCAATATCTACCAACTCTGCTGGTGTAAGATTATTTGTAGTTAGGTAATATTTGAGGTTTCCATTCATTGGCTGTGTTACAATGTAAAAAGGATAGCTTTCAATACAAACACCATATAGACTGATGATGTTCTTGTGGTAGAATTCTCCCAATATGTTGGCCTCTTCAAGAAATTTTTCTTGTGTAATATCTGTTGCTATATTTGTCTTAATGGTAACTGGCCCTTTACCTTTCCAATTACCCTTCCATGTTTCTCCAAACTGTCCAGCATTTATGCATTTTAAAAACTTAATTGAAGACTTATTAATTCCCCGTTCTTTATTGAATGCAATGGATCTTTTTGCTTGTTTGGGTAAAGGAACTCTTAGTGGGTAGGCCAGACCATCAGCTTTCATCATGTAGTGATGTATCAGGTCATTGAGTGAGTCAAATTGGACATCAGGGTATATATGATACTTATTAAATGTAATGTTTATACGATAGTGCCTGTTACCAAATCCAATGCTAAGTGAGAGAGTATACTGCCCGGGATTACTTTCACTATCTCTAATTAGGAAAGTACCTGCTTGAGTGTCTCCTTGACTCAGTCTCTTCTTTGCTTCATTATGACTCACTTTATGATAGTAGATATTGTTGTTGTACCTATTGTTAATAAATAAAAAATCCTTTGTTATAGTTTTAATTTCTTACATTGGTGAGTATTCTCCTTCAATTGGTGTTATATAATTAATTGGTACATATCCTTCTTTGTCTGTATGAAGTGAATGCATGTACCACCATTGCCGATTTTCATTATATTTAACAACTTCAAGTACTTCTCCTATAAAAGTACATTATTATATAATTGTATTGTTTCTTCAAACCTTTCTTTAAAGTTAACTCATATTGATATAGTGTTTCAAAATTATAACTAGCGATAAATACTGTATAGAGAGCAAGTTTCATTAAACAAGCATACACCATACATATTTATTTACATTTATACTTTGTGATCAATTCCCTCAATGGTTGTAGTAGAGTAGGATCATCAGTAATTTTTTGTACAAAATACTCTGCTTTTTTATCATCATCAAGGAGAGCAGGTAGAAGAGATAATCCTTCCTTTGTTATTGCAAACTGAAACAAGTAAAGTAATTCTACTCTTGAGTATCCAATGTATTTCATTGGAACAGCACTCTTCTGTCCAGTCTCCAGTGATTGTACCTCATGTCCATTTGTGCTTATCTTAAATAATTCACCCTTTTTGAATGAAATATTTGTGTCACTATAATCATCTTGAGCTTCACAGATAGATCCATTGGATGATAGCACTGTCTGTGTGGATTTCACTTCTTTATTTATTGACATATGCATTATAGAAAATATTAATATACATGTAAATTACTTACTGTAAGAATTTGAATTTTGAATTTCAAGCAGGTGTACACTAATGTTTTCATTCTCTTGTAATACTTCCTTTCGACCTTTTTTAAAGCACATGTATCATGTCATTAGAAGCTAATAAAATATGTATATACTTATTCTGATCCTTAGAGTAGATTGTAAATGTTCAGATTCTCTTAATAACATTCGCTTTTTTGAACTTGCAGCTTCTTCTTTTTTAATTTGCTTGACTTTAGATTTGAAACCTTTTAACTCAATAATATAATGAAATTTTGTTGTTATTAATGCTAAACCTGATGCCTGCATGCTGCTATTGATGAGTTCTAAAATTATGATTATTATATATGTAAGTTAATGTAATGTTCCTACCTTGCTTGTGTTTTAAAGCTAAAATTTGTAATGCTTGATTGTCAAGGACACCTGTAAATACATGTATACATTGATATTATTAGTAAAATATTCATCTCATACTTTCTTTATCACTGTGATATGGATTCAACTTCACCAATTCTCCTTCACATATTTCAGTTTCCTCTGCAACAATCTTTAGTTCCTATTATTTTCATGTAAAGTTTCAAAATAATTTCATAACTGGTGCAATACTTTGCTTCTGATAGTCCTATCATAGACAGTGCAGTGTCCTATTTTCAATCTCATCAAAGCAAATTCTTCTTGCAGCACAGTAAGATTAGCACGAGCCCTCAATTGCAAAGCATTCATTAGATGAGAAGGAGCACCACAAATGATAATGATGGAGTTGCCTTTATGCATGCTTTTGACTATAATCCTTCTACTCAATCCTTGGAATGTTTTCTCCATTAAACGACGAATATCATTCAATAAGTGCTCAGCAGGATCCCAGTCTAGAACAAGCTCAATGGTTTCACAAATGAGAAAATCGCTTATTGAAAGCTTCTTATCAAGCAAGAATTGAAGCTTAAGTTTGTGACAAAACTCATCAAGTGTTGTACTATAATCAGATATCAATGGCTTAGCTTCTGTTATGCTGTAGAAGCTGACCACTTCCTTTACTGGTGCAATATTGATGACATTGCATTTGGTTTTAATAATTTTCATGACATCTTTCACTGTAGCAGCAGAGGTTAGGTTAGGGCCTATCTCAGGATAGCAATCATCAAGAAATTCTATGAAATCTTCAAGTTGGTTCACTCTGATAGTGTGAGATACCAGTTGGGTGACTTTGAAATAGAAAGTTCCAAATTTTCCTCTCATTTCATCAAAACTATAATGCTCTGAAATTTGAAACTCAAATTCTGTAACAAATAATATCATTATAGCCAATTTTTATAACTAGCTGGCTTACTTGAGGCTCTAACACTTGATTCTTCAACTATAAAGATATAATATTTGCTTGTTAATCATTTTTCAGTAAAATACCTGAAGCTGGTGTAATGATACTTGATGCATTGTGTGCATCACAACTGTCACAAGTAGAATTTTCTGTCTCAAATATGTCTTCTGAAAAGAAGCATAAATTTCATCAAACATTATTGTTTCTTACCACAGTCTTTCATTAAGTCATTGGCTATACTAACAGTGCCTGTTGATCTTAATATGCTAGCAAATGATTTCAATTTGTTATGATCATAAGCTACTGCTGTGTATATTTCTCTGATTGCATCATCTGTTAGTGTGTATCCACAACTCTTCACTTCCCTCGATGTCTCCTCAGATATCAGTCCTTCAGTATGCAACAGATGAACTGATTTTTCAGAGAGTGTTGCTCCAGATATTCTACTACTGTAATGCTGTAGTAGCTGGCTAGCAGGATCAACCACTATAGAAATATAGTATTAGCTTTAATCTTATTGAATTAGAACTGTTTACTTGTTTTTTCAATCTTTTCAGCCACTCCTTCTGCTTCCAATTTTTTAAGAGCATTGGCTAATGTCTGCCAAGTAGGGTGAAGTGATTTACTCAGCCACTTGGATAAACACTCCATCAGACAACGTGAAGTATTGCCTCTATGATTAGCATCAATAGTTTCCAGTGTAGGATAAGGGAGACCAAGATTCAATCCAAACTCAAGCCATTTTGCCTCAGGAAACCTGTATAGCTTCAGTATTTGCATAATCTCATTCAATTTGTTGATATCTAATGATAAAGTAAATTGTACTAAAATAAATTAAAATAAACCTACCTAGAATAAATGATAGGGTACATTTTTGCTGGCTTGCTTGATGCCATGTCAGACAAAGTAATTTAACAAAAAATGAATAGACTACATTGTTTCATTTATACAGTTTGCTGGCTGTTTTGTTTTTCAGCTTTATGTGTTTTTGTAAACAGGTACAAATTGAAACTGATTGTATCGTTTTCGTTACATAAACAAAGCCTATCCAAATACCTTACCTAATAAGGTATTAAATGGGTGCAAGAGTAAAGAATGGTCTGGATTATGTTTTGTTGTCAATCCCTAGCATTGATTGCACTAGATTGTACTAGATAGTTGTAGTGCCTTTCTGTCATTGTAATAACATTGAGTTCAGAGAGAGAGAGACAAAATTTGGAAAAGGGGGAGAAAACCATACCACAAAAATGGATATTATTATTATTATTATTATTATTATTATTACATGTATTATTGTTATTATTATTATGTGTATTTGTAGGTGAAGATGTATTGCCAGTGGCTGATGCTGGTCCTGATATGATACTAACACTACCACAGGACACAGTGACACTGAATGGAACTGGCAGTCATGATGGATTTGGTATCAGTCAATACAAATGGATTAAGAGTGACAGCAGCTCTGCTATTGGTAATTATTAATTTATTATTATTTATTAAGAGGTATGGTTGGTGGTAGTGTTCATGAGCCATTCCTAATGCTCTCTAATCTGATCAATGGTACATATAATTTAACACTAATGGTAATGAGTAGCAATGGAAAAATAAACACTCATGAGTCTATGTAGAGCCTATTATGACAAAGCACCATTCTCCTACATACTGTATTGTTATTACTTTGTGTATGTATTCAATGTCTGTTTCCTGTCTGTTATAAATGAAATATTTTCCATAAAGACAAATGTACACATGTTCTTATTGTAAACAATACAAATACATTCTGTTTGTTTATTCATTAATTTTGTAAAGAATACCTTCCTAGTGATTATTAATTTACCTTCTATTTCTCTTCCCATTTCTCTTTCCTTTTTCCCATACGTACCCACTCTCTCCTATTCTCCTTTAATATTCTCTCTTCCTCTCTCTTTACAGTCCTATACATTAGCAGTTGCTAATAAACATCCAGTTATTACACTACCAACTGATCATATTAAGATATTCTCCAGTACATGGCCTGATTCATCACCAGGTGTTACTTATCATTATCATTGGAGGAGATTGTTTGGTCCTAAGAAGGGAAACCTCAATGGAGTCAATGATAAAACCATCTCATTGAGTCATGTATGTTATAGGGAGGGAGGGAGAGTAGGATTTAATTTAATGGTGTATTGTTTACACGTGATTAGCTAGATGCATAAATGATTATTCTTTATTGATGCTATGATTCATATTTTACATTAAAGTGCCCTTGACATACAGTCACATTCAAATAATTTATTTTAAAGTTCACAAGCAAAAATACATTTATATGAATGCATATCTACTATGCTTGACAAGTACAACTAAAATATCTCTAAAATTTGGCCTTTCATTTTCATAAATTTTCCAGCAGTTTGGCATAAGTTGTTTAAATGGTTTAGGACAATTTTGGGGTATGGGCATATGATAACCTTTTGATGATACTGCCTCCTTTACTTCTTCATCAGTCATACCAGGATATGGTTCCTTTCCTTTGGTAGCCAGTTCCCATAGTAATATACCAAATGACCAAACATCAGATTTAATGCTCAGTCGGCTTAAAGTATATCCTTCAGGTGCTGTCCATTTTATAGCTACCTTAGTACTTTCCTTAAGAATCTGGTATTTTTTGCCATTGAGGTGTTGAGCAAGATCAAAGTTTGCTATCTTGACAATGTTATGATCTCCTAATAGTATATTCTCTGCTCTTAGATCACAATGAATGTAATCTTGTTCTCCTAGATAAATCATACCATCAGTAGCTTGAATAGCGATATCTACCAAATTTGCTGGCATAGTGTTGTTTGAAATCAGGTAATCTTTGAGGTTTTCATTCATTGGCTCTGTTACAATATAAAAAGGATAGCTTTCAGTACAAGCACCATATAGACTGATGATGTTCTTATGGTAGAATTTTACCAAAATATTCGTCTCATCAAGAAATGTTTTTTGTGTGATATCTGTTGCTATATTTGTCTTAATGGTAACTGGCCCTTTACCTTTACAATCACCCTTCCATGTCTCTCCAAACCATCCAGCATTTATGCATTGTGAAAACTTGATTTGTGATTTATTAATTTCTAACTCTTTATTCATTGCAATGGGTATGTTTGCTTGTTTGGGTATAGGAACTGTTAGTGAGCAGGTCAGACCATCTGCTTCAATCATGTAGTGGTGTACCAGGTCATTGAGTGAGTCAAACTGGACATGAGGATTTATGTAATACTTATTAAACTCAGTGTATATGCGATAGTGCTTGATAGTAACTCCATTATTAACTGAGAGTGAATAATGCTGTCCAGGTTTGCTCTCACTATCTCTAATTAGAAAAGTACCTGCTTGAGTGTCTGCTTGATTCAGTCTCTCCTCTGCTTCACGACGACTCACTGTATGATAGTAGATGTACTTGTAGTACCTATTGTTAATAAATAAAAAACCTTTAATCCTTTGTTATAACTTTGATTTTTTTTACATTGGTGAGTATTTTCCTTCAATTGGTAATATATAATTAATTGATACATATCCTTCTTTGTTTGTATCAAGTGAATGCATATACCACCATCCATCATCTTTATATATAGCAACTTTAAGTATTTCTCCTATAAAGTATACATTACACAATAATCATTTTTTTATTGTTGCCAAACCTTTCTTTAGAGTTAAGTTATGTGGGTTTAGTCCTTCAAAATTATAACTAGCCATAAATACTGTATAGAGAACAAGTTTTATTAAACAAGCACATGCCATGCATGTCTATTTACATTTATCCATTGTGATCAGTTCCCTCAATGATTGTAGTATAGTAAAATCATTCGTAATTTTTAGTATAAAATGTTCCACTTTTTTATCATCATCAAAGATAACAGGTAGGAGGGATAATCCTTCCTTTGTCACTGCAAACTGAAACAAGTTAAGTAATTCTACTCTTGAGTATCCAATGTATTTCATTGGAACAGCACTCTTCTGTCCAGTCTCCAGTGATTGTACCTCATGTCCATTTGTACTTAACTGAAGTAGTTTACCTTTTTTGAATGAAATAACTGGGTCATTATAATCATCTTGAGCTTCACAGATAGATCCATTGGATGATAGCACTGTCTGTGTGGATTTTACTAATATATTATAATTATGTCTAATTTAAAAGTATTAATGAAAATACTTACTGTAAGAAGGTTCTATTTCAAGCAGCTGTACACAAATAGATGATATACTTTCCCGTAGTTTCTCAATCTCTTGTTCATTGTCTTGTAGTACTTCCTTTCTACCTGTTTTAAAGTACATGTATTATGTCATTAGAAGCTAATGAAGCATGTATATACTTATTCTGATCCTTAGAGCAGATTGTAAATGTTCAGTTTCTTTTAATAACATTCGCCTTTTTGTGTTTACAGCCTTTTCTTTTTCAATTTTTTTGACTTTAGATTTAAAACCTTTTAATTACAATAATGCAATGATATAATGGAATTTTGGTATCATTAATGCTATACCTGATGCCTGCAAGCAACTGTTGATAAATTCTAAATTTAGTAAAATTAATGATTATAGGTAATGTAATATGTCCCTACCTTGTTTTTGTTTTAAAAGTATAAGTTGCGTTACTTGATCATCAAGGAGACCTGTACATACATACATTGATTTGATTTTATAAGCAAAATAGCTCATCTCATACTTTCTTTGTCATTGTGGTATAGATTCATCTTTATTAATTCTCCTTCACACATTTCAATCTCTTCCTTCGCAACAATCTTTAGTTTCTATAAAATTTTATATAGCTTCATTATTGGTCATTAAGGGTACTTTGTTTCTGATGGTCCTATCATAGACTTTAAAGTGTCCTATTTTCAATCTCATCAAAGCAAATTCTTCTTGCAGCACAGTAAGATTATCACAAGCCCTCAATTGCAAAGCATTCATTAGATGAGTAGGAGCACCACAAATGATAATGATGGAGTTCCCTTTATGCATGCTTTTGACTATGATCCTTCTGCTCAATCCTTTGAATGCTTTCTCCATTAAACGACGAATATCATTCAATAAGTGCTCAGCAGGATCCCAGTCTAGAACAAACTCGATTGTTTCACGAATAAGAAAGTCACTTGTTGAAAGCTTCTTATCGAGCAAGAATTGAAGCTTGAAAGTGTGACAAAACTCATCAACTGTTGCATTATAATTGGTTATCAATGGATTAGCTTCTGTTATGCTATAAAAGCTGACCACTTCCTTTACTGGTGCAATATTGATGACATTGCATTTGGTTTTAATAACTTTCATGACATCTTTCACTGTAGCAGCAGATGTTAGGTTAGGACCTAGCTCAGGATAGCAATCATCAAGAAATTCTATAAAATCTTCAAGTTGGCTCACTCTGATGGTGTGAGATACCAGTGGAGTGACTTTGAAATAGAAAGTTCCAAAATTGCTTCTCATTTTGTCGAATTGATAAGTATATTCCTCTAAAGTTTGAAACTCAAATTCTGAAACAAATATTTAAGTCTTTTTAGAGCTATTAAATATACCTGTAATTCTGACACTTGATTTTTCAACTATGTAGATACAAAAAGAATTGATTATTTTTGTTTGTTATTATAATTACCTGAATTTGCTGTAATGATACTTGATGCATTGTCTTTATCACCATGATAACTCTCCATCCCATTAAAAATGTCATCTTAAAAAGAGCATAGCTCAATTATTGTGTATTATCATTATTATTTCTTACCACAGTCTCTCATTAAGTCATTGGCTGTGCCCATTGCTCTTATTAAAATGCTAGCAAATGATTTCAATTTGTTATGATCATTAGCTACTGCTGTGTATATTTCTCTCATTACATCATCTGTTAGTGTGTATCCACAATTCTTCACTTCCCTCAATGTCTCTTCAGATATCAGTCCTTCTGTATGTAACAGATCAACTGATTCTTCAGAGAGTGTTGCTCCAGATATTCTACTGCTGTAATGCTGTAGTAGCTGGCTAACCACTGGGAAAGGAGTATTACAATACATTATATTGAATCAGAATAGACTTTACTTGTTTTCTCAATATTTTCAGCCACTGCTTTTGCTTTTAACTTTCTAAGAGCACTAGCCAATGTCTGCCAAGTAGGAAAATACACATTTTCATCAGCTTTACTCAGCCACTTGGATAAACACTCCATGAGACAACGTGAAGTATTTCCTCTATGATTAGCATCAATAGCTTCCAGTGTAGGATAAAGAAGACCAAGATTCAATCCAAACTCAAACCATTTAGCCTCAGGAAACCTGTATTGCTTGAATATCTGTACAATCTCATATAATTTGCTAATATCTAATGATAAGGTAAACCCACACTAAAGAAATAAAGATATAACTACCTAAAATAATAGGGAATGTTCTTACTAGCTTGTTTGATGCCATTTTGCTGTTTGGCTGAAGGCTGATTAACACTGTACAATTAACGTAAGGTAAGGTTATTGGTTAAGACAGGAAGTGCTGTATAAACCAATGGCCACCGTTTACATCAGGTAAGAATTGAGAATTTCTATTCTTACCTTACGTAAACGGTGGCCATTGATGTTTACAAAGTAATGAAACAGAAAGGAAATGCGTTGTGATAACGGTGCATTGACATTCATTCATACATGTACATGTACACATAATTACTTGAGATACGCATGCTATTAGATTTTTCATGCACCCAGTTGTATTACAATTCAATTCCTTTCCCAAATATACATGTGTTTTTTGTGAATGGGTACAAATTGAAACTTTTTGTTACATAAACAAAGCACCCTACCTAATAAGGTATTAATGGGTGACAAGATTGAAAGGTTTATATTTTTGATGATATTGGGTTATGTTCTGTTGTCAACCCCTGGACTGTAATGACATAATGTTTATTGCATGCACTCATTTCAGACATTCATTTATTGTTATAATGCATGAGATGATCAGTTCAATTAATTAATTATTCACTTTTATTCTATACAGTTGGTTGCTGGTAAATACGGTCTTGGAAGTATTAGTTTATGATGATGAAGGAAACTATAGATTATCATATCCCCCAGTACTAACATCACTATAAAACCCTCTGATAAATTAATGCTAGACGCCTCAAGTAAGTAATCAATGGCCTGGATTGGCCCCCATAGGGGGTCTCAGAGAACTGGGATTATTGGACCCTGCCTTTAATAATACTGGAACACCTCAATGTTGGAAAATATAGTATAACGGGAAATTTTGGAGAGAGTAAAATTTGACAAATTTCTAAATTTAGGGTGATTGGTGGATTTTAATTTGGCAAATTTGTGGCCAAGTCATGGCCTGATTCATCACCATGTGTTACTTATCATTATCATTGGAGGAGATTGTTTGGTCCTAAGAAGAGAAACCTCAATGGAGTCAATGATAAAACCATCTCATTGAGTCACGTATGTTATAGGGAGGGAGGAGAGAGGGGAGGAAAGGAATAAGAGTTAGAAATACATGTATTTGCTTGCATGCCTCTTTTGTCTAGTTTTTTTATTTTGATATTGATTTTTATCCATTCATGTTGTGTTAAATTTACAAACACAAGGATGATTGTTTTCATGTTGCTAAAATAGGATTGACTTTGGGGATGCATCTATTAGTACATCAAAAATGTTCCAAAAGTTTGGCCTTTCATCCTCTTTATAGTTCCAACAGTTTATAATAAGTCGATAAAACGGTACAGGACTAGTCCACGGTATGGGCATACGATAACCCCTTTGTACTGCCTCCTTTACTTCTTTATCAGTCATACCACGGTATGGTAGATCCCCTTTGGTAACCAGTTCCCATAGTAATATACCAAATGACCAAACATCTGATTTAATACTTAGCTGTTCTGCAGTATATCCTTCAGGTGCTGTCCACTTTATAGCTAGCCTAGTTTCTTTCTTGACATTCCAGTATTTATTGCCATTGAGGTATTGGGCAAAATGAAAGTTTGCTATCTTGACAGTGTTATGATCTCCTAATAGTATATTTTCTGCTCTTAGATCACAATGAATGTAATCTTGTTCTCCTAGATACATCATACCATCAGTAACTTGAATAGCAATATCTACCAACTCTGCTGGTGTAGGATTATTTGTAGTTAGGTAATTTTTGAGGTTTCCATTGATTGGCTCTGTTACAATATAAAAAGGATAACTTTCAGTGCAAACACCATATAGACTGATGATGTTCTTATGATTAAGTTTTTCCAATATAATGGCCTCTTTGACGAATGTTTCTTGTGTAATATCTGTTGCTATATTTGTCTTAATTATAACTGTCCCTTTACCTTTACAATAACCCTTCCATGTCTCTCCAAAGTGTCCAACATGTATGCATTGTGAAAAATTGATATCCAGCTTATTAATTTCCCACTCTTTATTCATTGCAATGGGTATGTTTGCTTGTTTGGGTATAGGAACTGTTAGTGAGTGGATCAGACCATCAGCTTTCATCATGTAGTGATGTACCAGGTCATTGAGTGAGTTAAACTTGACACGAGAAAATATATAATACTTATTAAACTCAATTCTTATACGATATTGCCTGATAGTAGCTCCATCATTAAGTGAGAGGGTGTACTGTCCAGGATTACTTTCACTATCTCTAATTAGGAAAGCACCTGCTTGAGTGTCTGTTTGACTCAGTCTCTTCTCTGCTTCATTACGACTTACTACATAATAGTAGACATACTTGTAATACCTATTGTCAATAAATAAAATATCTTTTAATCCGGCTTTGTTATAGCTTTAGTTTCTTACATTGGTGAGTATTTTCCTTCAATTGGTAATATACAATTAATTTGGACATATCCTTTACTGTCTGTATGAAGTGAATGCATATACCACCATTCATCATCTTCATGATATTTAAAAACTTTAAACAAATCTCCTATAAAAGTACATTATTATGTATTGTATTATTGTTGCCAAACCTTTCTTTAAAGTTAGGTCATGTGGGCTTAGTCCTTCAAAATTATTAATAGCCATAAATACTGTATGTATATAGAACAAGATTTATTAAATAAGCATACACAATACATGTTTATTTACATTTATCCTTTGTGATCAATTCTCTCAATGATTGTAGTAGAGTAGGATCATTAGTAATTGTTTCTACAAAATATTCTGCTTTTTTATCATCATCAAGGAGAGCAGGTAGGAGTGACAATCCTCCCTTTGTTATTGCAAACTGAAACAAGTAAAGTAATTCTACTCTTGAGTATCCAACGTATATCATTGGAACAGCACTCTTCTGTCCAGTCTCCAGTGATTGTACCTCATGTCCATTTGCACTTAACTGAAGTAATTCACCCTTTTTGAATGAAATAGTTGTTTTATTATAATCATCTTGAGCTTCACAGATAGATCCATTGGATGAAAGCACTGTCTGTGTAGATTTCACTTCTTCATCTATTGATGTCTGATTAGAATATTAATGAAAATTTATACTTACTGTAAGAATTTTGCATTTCAAGCAGCTGTACACTAATAGATGAAATACTTTCCTGTAGTTTCCAAATTTCTTTTTTATTGTCTTGTAGCACTTTCTTTCGACCTGTTTTAAAAGTACATGTATTATGTCATTAGAAGGTAATAAGGAATGTATATACTTATTCTGATCCTTAGAGTAGATTGTAAATGTTCAGTTTCTCTTAATAACATTCGCTTTTTTGTACTTGCAACCTTTTCTCTTTCAATTTGTTTGATTTTAAATTTAAAATCTTTATAATCATAATTACTATAATGCAATAATAATTATTTATGCTATACCTGATGCCTGCATGCTACTGTTGATAAATTCTAAAAATATCATAATTGATGATTATAAGTTAATGTAATGTCCCTATACCTTGTTTCTGTTTTAAACTTATAAGTTGTGCTGCTTGCCTAGCAAGAAGACCTGTATATACATTCATTGATTTGATTTTATAAGCAATACTTGATCTCATACTTTCTTTGTCATTGTGGTATGGATTCAGCTTCATTAATTCTCCTTCACGCATTTCAATTTCCTCTGCAACAATCTTTAGCTCCTATTTTATCCATGTAAATAATTTCATAACTGGTATATACTTTGTTTCTGATGGTCCTATCATAGACAGTGCAGTGTCCTATTTTCAATCTCATCAAAGCAAATTCTTCTTGCAGCACAGTAAGATTATCACGAGCCCTCAATTGCAAAGCATTCATTAGATGAGTAGGAGCACCACAAATGATAATGATGGAGTTCCCTTTATGCATGCTTTTGACTATGATCCTTCTGCTCAATCCTTGGAATGATTTCTCCATTAAACGACGAATATCATTCAATAAGTGCTCAGCAGGATCCCAGTCTAGAACAAACTCAATTGTTTCACAAATGAGAAAATCGCTTGTTGAAAGCTTTTTATCAAGCAAGAATTGAAGCTTAAGTTTGTGACAAAACTCATCAAGTGTTTTGCTATAATCAGATATCAATGGATTGGCTTCTGTTATACTATAAAAGCTGACTACTTCCTTTACTGGTGCAATATTGATGACATTGCATTTGGTTTTAATGACTTTCATGACATCT